TATTTACATATTAGCTGGTTATAAACAATCATGTTCTCGCACATGGTACGTCCCGAATCAAAATAAACATATTTTTACTATTAAACTTATTAATTGTAGCTAATTGAACTAATCAAATAGTATCAAATCGATCATTAATATAGCAAAGTATTTGAAATTGTGATTTTTATAACAATTTCTGTACTTAGTAAATTTTGTAAGTTTCGTACAATATTCAAATTATCTAATCGAGTTAATTCATAAATTACGTTCTTGGTTTTGCGTCTTATCAAGACATAAAAAGTATAAGCTAAACTTGAAACGAGGTCAAATGAAGAGATTAGTAGAAACACTGCTCTGAATATAATATTAATATATATATAAGATTTAAAATTATGTCAAATAAAGTAAGAGTATTGCAAATTAATAAAGCGTTATCAAATCATAGCTATTGCAGTTAATGATTGTAGTCAATTTGATGAAGTGCACATAATTTGTTCAATCCAATGTAATTATTTAATATTATAGGTAGATTATTCTCCATAAATGAATATCCTACAAATGCACTTTTACCAAACAACGTGTATTTATTGAAGGTTGACTGTATTGAATTTAGAAAATCATTTCTTATTTCAAAATAACGCGTAGGTCAGTGTTATTCGCGTTTATACGGTAACATGTAAAAAAAATAAAATAATTTTGGACAACCAGAATGTCAAGCAACAAAATGTAAATGTAAGTACTAAAAAAATCAATAATCCAATTTTATTACGCTACAAGCAGTTGACTTGGTATAGTCAGATAAGCCGATTTGTAGGTATCAGCTCATTCAATAAATTTTAGTCGATTACAAACACTAAAACTAAGCGGCGGAGCTGCCACATAATCGAATGCTAATTTTATAAAAAAAAAGAATAAGTGGGTTTGACAGGATTTATATTTTTATAAATCGAGGACCATAATTCAAACTTTAATCATTTTTAGTTTCAGTCGCAACAATTATTAATATGATAAAAACTGAATTTTTAAAGTACATTTATATTTCTGTTAAAATCATAGGTACATATGGTCAGTCTAATGTGATTTATAAGGCATTATATGTAGACCATAATGAAAAGTGCATATTCTACAAATGCACTTTTCTCCAACATTTATGGATATTAATCAACTTGTCGATAATTATATCGACCAACTAAAGCAGATTTTTTGAGATCACTATGCCTCTTTTGCTTCAGATTATCATCATGGGTACGTATGTACACGAGTTTGTTACTCATACCTTGTTTGGTATAGGCTCAAGTCTTAAAGTTTCAGAACCAAAAAAATTTTGACGGCAACTATACTCTTGTAAAGTATAAGAAGACATCAAAATATCTCAGACTCTCGAATATCAATATCAATACATACTACATTCTTTCATCATGGCAAAATATTTGAGAATTTTAATATCACTTGCAATCATGTCCTTATTTCTATACATGTTGAATGGCGCTATGTTAATAGAAAGGCAGAATGGAAATAGTTCTCAAGTAATTTTATTTTATATATTTATTTGAATATTATTAACATTATTAACTATATGTTATTTATTTTTTTAGTTTGATCCAGATGGCCTGGCAATTTCATCGGTAATTTTTTATTTTACTTATTTATTTATAAAATTGGTAAAATTAATTTCACCAGCAACTCTAATCTCAAGTCTAAAAATATGACCAATAAGAGTGTTTTAAATACATAGGGGAAGCTCTATAGTAAATTGATTTCAACTAACGTGATGATAATACTGGCTGCGGCAGCAATGTAATTTTGTTTTTCTAATTCAATATCTTTAAATGTTATTAGAATTACTAATAAGAATTTTACTCCTTTATTTATTAGCTCCACGTTCGTAGCCCACAAAACGGAGCTGTTTGTGGTTCGATAAACTGTCCAGAGGTAGTTTTATTAATCTGTTATTTTTAGTACTGCTCACTTAATAGACAATCACTTCATAAAATAACTTAGTTTACAGACAATTAATTTATAAAAACGAAAATTTAATTTCACAGATAGGTTCCATTTATTTCATTGACAATTATTTTTACTGACAGCTATTTTCGCAAATAATGTAATTATTTGTTTGGAATTAGAGGTTGGGTTAGTGCAATTTATAAAAAAACATGGCTGTTAGTAAAATAAATTATCTTAAAAATAAGCTGTCGGTAAGATAAATTATCTATGAAATGAACTTTGTGAAATTAGTTGTCTATAAATAATATTTATCTGTGAATCAATAGTCTGGGACAAATTGTCTATGAAAGATTATTAGTGAAATGATATATATCCGTATCATAAATTATCGTTATCTACTAATTTAGCCAAATCAAGCTTGCTGTGGTGATACAACATGTTGTAATTCGGTAACTTATTTATTAATCTGTTGCCTTCAAGCATAATTATTATATTAATATTTGCTTTTTGATTTGACCAGAACCAAACTTGTTGTGGTGATAAATGTTGTAATCCGGTAACTTATTTTATTAATCTGTTGTCTTTAATCATTATTAGTATTATTAATATATGCGTTTTGATTTGCCAGATACAGACATGTACTCTTGGCAATAAAGGCCCTAATTGTTGTGATCCGGTAATTTTACTAATACATTGCCTAAGTATTATTAGCATTGTTAATATTTATTAATTCTAGACTTATTTGATTTGGCCAGGCTGATATCCCTTGCAATGGAGCTTGTTGCTCTAGCGCTAAAGTAATTTTAATTTTTAATATTTTGTTTTTGAATATAATAGAATATAATTGGAATCACTAATTATATTTTTGATTTATCTAGCGAGAAAGATGCTCTTTTGTAGGTTGTGTTGTACGTTAAGTATATTAAAACTAGAAAAATTAGGAAATTAATTTTATTGAAAATTCATTTTATCTTGATTAAAAATATGTTTATTTTGATTCGGGACGTACCATGTGCGAGAACATGATTGTTTATAACCAGCTAATATGTAAATA